AACGGGAGCCTGTAGCATAAATATGGGTCAACTGGAACAGAAGCGTACTGATGACATCACCACACGCTCGGCTCGTCTGGAGCTGCATTTCACCTCCTGATATTAATAGTCTCTAGATTATAATAAATTCTGACTTTTTTCATTAATTGAGGAAATAATAATTGATACAGTCGGATAAACACAAATCAAATGAACATTTTGCCAAATAAAACAAAAAAACCTCCATTAGAGCCAGCAGAACTTCATACGGCTATGCAGAGAGAGGGCTACTGCAGACCGGCTAACGTTAGCCCTGGCTGCCATTAGCCTAGGAGCTCCGCTGGTTGGTCCAGTCCTCTCAACTTCTGAATTTTTTTTAAATTGCTCATTAAATGGGTAAATGGGCCATATAGTGACTAGGGGTGTAAATAATAATGGTTTTGTATCGATGCATCGATCCAACAGCCGATGATCCGATGAATCGATTCATGTTTTCTTTTCCTCCGGTCTATTTTTATCCATTTGCTCCTGGACGTAATTCTCCCTCCCGTGCTGCGGGGGCGCTAAACCTATTTTGCCCTCCTACCTCGCTTCCTGGTTATACTCTTACAGCAGTGTGTTGCAGTGAGCTTGACACAGACATTTTTAAATTATGCTCAATATTGAAGTGTGGTCTGTGCTACACGCTGTGGGTCTAGATACGGCCGAGGCGGCGAGGAAGTGGGGGCGAGTTTGAAACATTTTATAGCCTGTAAGGTAAAAAAAAAAAAAAGGAACCAGTTAATCAAACCATATCGTGGTTTATTCTTGAATATCGAAAATAATCGAATCGTTAGGTCAGGAAATCGATACTGAATCGAATCGCCATGATGGGTGTGATTTACAGCCCTAATAGTGAAGCTTAAAAGTATAACTTTCTTGCCTCAAATGATCTTAAAACGTACTTTTATAGAACAACAGCAACAGAAAAGAGAACTTTTAACTTAATCTGAGCTCTGTGAGCGCTAACCTGGAAGCTGCTGCAGTGCATGCTGGGACAGCTGTCAATCTCGAGACTGGACAAGAATGCTCTGATGCATGCTGGGTAAATAGGGAGGGGCGAGAACAACATCGGGGGACTCTGTCCGTTCCCGGTCTGCTGTTTTGTGAATTTGAACAGTGCTATCGCTGAGGCTGATGACGTTTCACGAGCACATGAGAACGCACAAGCACACATATTGAGAAACTTCTGTTAACAAGCAGCAGCAGCTGAATTCAGCTCAGACCATCTTTCTTTATCGGTGCCGAGCAGAGAATCCGGTCTCATCCTTAACTCCTCGCCCAGATTTCACGAGTTCTGCATCCGGGGCTGGTGCATTGTGGGAAAGAAGCAGACGTGTCCGTACTGCAACGAGAAGGTGGACCTGAAGCGGATGATGAACAACCCGTATCCTTCATTTGCTGATTATTATCGCACTCATTCTAACATTAGAGCACTGGAGGTGGAAGCTACAGGTTAGACTCCTCCAGGCCAGCAAGCTGCACACTCGTTTGTTTTTATTTTATTTTTTTTTCTTAACTTTTTTAGCTCCATTGCAGTGTTTTCCAGTCAGTTACCAGACCTGCTATTGCTAGCACACTTTTAACTTTAATCCCAGACGAGGAGGAGGGATTTTTGGGTTCCGGTTTTGCAGTCCAGAAACGATGATGATGTTCTGATCTTTAGCTGCAGCAGGACCCCTAAGGGGGGGGATGTACACCATCACAGCAATAACATGTGAAAACTCCCTCAGGAAGTAGCAAAGCACTATGCTAACCACTAACGTTTCCCATAAGTGTGCTTTGACATGAGCATCAGAGTTACATCATGTCTGTTAGTCCTACACTGGAAAAACAATCTAGAAATAAGTAAAAATGTCTTAAAGTAAGTCTATTTACCTTTAATTTGAGTAGGTAAATAGGATAGTTTGCCAATAGAGTGAGTATTTTTACTCTTAAAATAGGATAATTAGGTAATCTGCACTTAAAATAAGACAATGCAACTGTATTTTCCTATTTTAAATGTAAGTTGTCTTGTTCTATTGGCAAAATGTCTCGTTTACCTCCTCAATCCAAGAACAAATGCACTTATTTCAAGAAAAACAGACTTATCTAGATTTCAATTTTTTCCAGTGTAATCAGTCTGCTCCTTCACTGGAAATTAAACAGCATAAAAACTAACTGTAATCTGATACTGTAGATATTGAATTATTTATTTTTTGGAAATTGGTGTTAATAATTAGTTGGGAAAACTAGCATGAGGTGCTGATTATCCTTAATTCTTCCTCCTTGAAGCTGGGAGAAAACTCACGTTTTATACGGCCAGCTGCTGGACTGGCTGCGATATTTAGTCGCTTGGCAACCCATCATCATCGGCATCGTTCACGGAATAAACTTCTCTCTGGGCCTGGAGTAGAGCCCTGAGGGACGCCACCGCCACCGGAGTTAAGCTAGTAAAGGCGGCGCTGAGGAGGACCGCTTCCTGCTGCTGCGCTGAACTCTGCTCAATTTCCTCTGGGTTGCACCTTCATCTCCAGAGGACGCTGCCAACTCAAACTGCCGCAAACATTAAGGACACTTCAGGCACAGATCCAGTAGTTTAAAACCTTTTCAGTTGATGTGATGAAATAATTTGCATAGTATTATCTCAGTTTTATTTGCACACTCCTTCCTTCTGGATTACTGGACTCCGGTTTCTGCTTTATTTATCTAAAGCTTTTGTTTTGCACATTGTTTACATGAGAACGGCTCTTAACTGCTCTATAGTATCAGGTATTCATGTTTTTCAAATTTCCTTTAAAATTCAGGTTTTATTTAAACGTTTATCTGAGGTTGTTATAGAGATAATTTATTACTGGTTGCTCCTGAACTCAGGATCAGTTTTTCTCTGAAAAAGGCATCAGTTGGATGTCGAGTGCCATTTAGGCTTAAAGTGTCAAAACGTTCTGAAAGAAAACGGTTTTATTGAAACAAATGTTTGATTGCCAAGACTTCCTCTGAATCTGAATTTGTATTAAATAAACATTTCTTAAAGCTTTAGTGTGTGACTTGAAATGCATGTAGCTCAGGCTAACAATGTTAGGATCTCAGATTGTGACTTTATTAGCAATTAATCAATACTGCTTTTATATCATTCATAGAAAATGGGGTACCATTTAGCAGCAAGGTTCCCCTTCTAGGTATATAGTTTATAGATAGGTTATTAATTTATTTAACACTTTATAGCAACAGAACTGACCATCATGATCAAATAGTGACCTAAGCTGTTCATCTATGCGTTTTACGTAGAGCTGTTTCCTTATAAGCAACAAAAGCATTTTTTTTAGCTTCCCTAATGTTAAATGCATAAGCTTTTATGAATGAGTTATAGAATATTTATAAATGAACATCTCAATAATAATAATTAGCCATTTATAAAGTGAGCTTTATTGTAAAGTTGCTCTGCAAAGATAAGTTTTAAAGATTGAATAAGGAATAGGAATGTTGAAGAATTCCAGAAGGTGTAAAAGTTGGGAAATTCAATGTTTACTTTTTAAGATTTAATCAGTGGCCGGTCTAGAGCTAGTTTACCTAGAATGGGGCTGGTGGTTTTTCATTGGGTGTTGAACAATAAAGACATTAAAACAGGACAAGTATGCATGTTTAGTCTGTTAATGAACCACAAAGCTGAGGTTTCAGACGACTGATCTAACAAAAGAAAACTGATGCTATCTAAATAAAGCTTAAAGCCGACTTTGACTTCTAAATAATCAAGTAATTTTAAATGCATAAAAGGAAGGTTGCTATTCCTACAATGTAGAGAATCTCAGCCTGGAAATTTCTGTTATTTTTCAGTAAAACAAAAATTGCAGGAATCTCTTTGAAAACAAGGTAGAGGGTCATTATAGATTTACAATAAATGCCTGTTAATGTGTCACTTTTTGGGAATTTTAATGCTCTAGAGTTTTAATAGAGGAATCAATGAAAATTTGAAAGCAAACAATAGTTATATGGATATGAAGCATTTCCTGGGGCTGCTACAGTATGGAAGTATGAACAAAATGGAGCGCTTTATTATCTATACCTGTAAATTGAAGTGGGCTGATAGCATGCATGAGGTCTCTAAATAATATGTTTATTTTATGAACTAATATAATTTAAAACACACACATTTTTCTTAAAAATATGTAGCATGTGGGAAAAACCCAGATTGTGACAGAGGAAGTGGCCCTAAAGCCAAGTCTCCTAATTTAAAGCCATAGTAAGCTTAAAATGATCAAACAGAAAAAAAACATTTGATTTAAACATTCTTTTACAATTAAAAATAGACTTTTTATTCTAAATTGAAAACCCAATAAGGTTCCATAAGTGGGTCGGTGTAGCTGGAAAAATGTCAGGGGTAAAATTCGTTCCCAGTCCGAGCTGTGAAGGTGGAGAAAACGGTGCATTGATGCATTCAAGGGGCCAGAAACGGGTGGGAATTTACAACTATTTTATGTAAACACTTTTTTCAGCTAATAAACTACCCGGTCACAAATAAAACTATTTTATATACATACTAATCCCGGGAAATAAGATGTAGGTAAGGAAACGTTCAGGATGAGGTTCTGATGTTTTTATTTTTTCTGTGGTTTGTTACAGCTTGAGAAACAACCCGACCAATCAAATTGCGAGTTAAGAATCTAGCCGAATGGCTGTGCATTTTTCCTCAACGACAAGTGACTGACATGAGAGAATGGAGTAAATGTATAAAAGCCACAACTCGATCTGACTTAGAATCATATCGACCACGGACCATAAAATATAAACAGTTATCATTAACACTGTTGGGAGGGAGGGAGGGAATAGCCCTTTTCAGGGTTGTGCTTGAAGTTTCCCGCGCGCTGTAAGGGCGTTTGTTTTGCCAATATCCAAAATTCTCAGTAGTATTTGAACGCAACGCCCTACGTAATAGTTGCTGATTGGCTTTTATCACGCAGCGCCATTTTATAAATCTCCCTGCAGCTCCGCGTCGGCGCAGTTGGAGCTGAGTCAGAGGGGCAGAAGGCACACAGTGGAATCTGTGCAAAAAGGTCCACCGGGTTCCTCTCTGTTCCTGCAGACCATCTTTATCTTATCTTTTTTCACCTTTGGTGTCCTCTTTCTCATTTCAACAGTTATTAGGATCCATTTGTCGAGGAATCCACGGTAAAAAAAAAAAAAAAAAACGGTGAGTAAAGACTAAGCATGTTTAACAACAAAATAGCTCAACAGTGCAATTGAATTAAAATGGTGGGGAATTGTCTTCATAATGGAATATTCTTTTTATTTAAGCTGATGAAGATTCCCAGTCATCCAGGTCATAGTCATTCTGTAAAAGTTTAGAAAAAAACGAGCCACTGGACTTGGTTTCCTTTTTATTTAAGTAACCAGGGCGGTTAAAAAGGGAGTGGCTGGACAAGTTCATGCTTAGCTATGGATTTTTAGGCTCCTTTTGGCTCCAGTAAAGGGCGGTTCCTCCTTTTTTTTTTTTTTTTTGCAACCTGGACAAAACTTAATAAGCTTGGTTATAAAACTAAAACGGATAGAAAGGTAAAACCTGAGCTAAGGTTTTTCATCCCTAATAGGATATTTTAGGATCTAAAGTGAAAATAATTAAAATCCATATTGAAAATTTAATTGAAATAAAGTATGTTGTTTCGGTGGGGGAGAATTTTTCCCAGAGGGACGTTTCTCTTTTGCTCCACTTTTCCAATACCTCATTAACAGTACTAAGGTTATCCTGAACCATTTTCAATTTTTATGCTGCTATAGGCTTTGACTGCTGGAGGACTTGGGTACCACTTTTCCTCATTTTACTTCATTCTATCTCTATTATTCCATTCTGCTTTTACTTCATCATGAATTTAAATATTCGCACTGCTACAACCATCAACATATCTGTTTATACATGTTGAGTCTTTGCCTGTTTTAATGTAGTTCTGTTTATTTTACTGTGACTAACTGTATGTGC